ACAGAGATAAAACAATAAGTGTTTTAGCATTATGAAAACATTATCAAATGTTTATTTACCGAGAGGATAATCCCTTCATCTAACTGAAAGGAGGAAGTAACAAAGCTGGGTGGATCTTTTTGTGCACAGAGTTTAGGAGCAGAGCCTCGGGGAGAAGAGCCAATCTGCTCTGTCACCCTCCGTGAGAACTCAGGGAAGTCTAATGACCTGTTGCCATCAAGGTGAAACTCAAAGCCAATTACCTTTCAAAAGATAGTACACTGAAAAGATTATCAGCCACAAGGTGATAAATAAGCATAATAATAAAACCATTGAAATACCTTTATTTATCAGCAGTGTACGAAAATACATACCCTGTGCCTCTCCCCCACATACTCACTTTTTCGTTTCCTAATCTTGAGGCTCAAGTTGTCTAGACATTCATTAGTCTCAGTACGGATTATATTTCTAAAAGCCCCCGCTGCCCGCCGCGCAGAGAATGGGCATGACTCCTGATCTCCATCGGGAATTGCTGATCCAAATGTGTGGATGGGGCCAGGAAGGGTGGGGAAGGGGGAAGGGGAGGAGAAGCACTTTCGGTGCGGACAGGGACAAAGGAGACAGAGGCAGGGCCCAGGAGAATGGAGAGCTGGGCTGAGGGGTTTGGGAAAATACGGAGGTTAAGGAGGGGGAAACAGAAGGAGAGGATGAGGAGAGAGTGAGTATGACATTGAGAGGACAAGAAAGAGAAAGGGGTTGGGAAATGAAGAAATAGGCGAAGTGGAAAGCCGAACTAGCAATGATAAAAACTTCAAATAAAAACTAATTCATCTTAAACTATTGTGCCATGTTTTTGTGATACAGTGAAACTGGAATGGGAAGAGGCCCTTTATTTTCTTAGGAAGAGAATGCAGCCCTGAGGTGGGAGAGGAATGGGACAGAACTTTCCAAACAAAGAGCAAGCCTGTGGGCTCTCGAACTGTCCGCCCCACACTGGGTGAACTGTTCAGACAGTTCTTTTTCCATCCCTGACTTTCTCCATCTAGAGAGGTGGAACCAGGAAAAAAGCCTGGTCTCTGGGAGGGCTGAGGACTAGGAGTGGGACCGTTGAGTTTGGTGCAGGCTGGGTAGGAGGCAGGCAGGGTTGGAGGGCACTGACCAGGCTGGGTTGCAGGGCCCAGGGAGAGTCGGGGGGAGCCCGAATGCAGAGGCTCCCTCACATCCAAAGGGACCTACCCCAAGACCTTACTGAGGCTTCAGGAACAGGGAATCAGGAAACCTGGAGCTTCTCAGATTTCTACTCCAGACTTCTGGGGACACACCGTGCCGTCAAGAAGAGACAGAAACATGTGCAATCTTTAAGCCTGCATCTCTAGCCCCTCTGCTCCAGCGCAGTTTGGAGATCCCACAGATACTTCTCCCTTCCTGCCCCTCAAGTAAAATCTGGCCTAAATCTTGACACCTGAGAAAAGACACCATCCCCCCCACCCCCCTACCCCCGCCATAGAAAAAATAAAGGCCTTGGCCAGGGGTCAGTGAGGGGACTTGACCTACTGCTGCACCTGTCCCCACACAGACCAGAGAGGGTCAGGACCAGACCTGGGTACCGAGTATGGGAAGCGTGTGTCTCTCCAGCTTCTGGGTGTTGCTGGTTCAGAGACTTTAAACACACAAACCCACCCCAGCTCCTGCTCCCTCGCTGCAAAGAGGGTATGATGACAAGCCCTGCTTATGATGCTTGGGGAGGATGTAGTACTGCCTGGCAGTTGTGACGTATAGACAGTAATTGGTAGCAAGGTGAGTGAGAAATATTGTGGGTGGGTGTGTTTTTGTTTCTGTTTAATAAATTTGGTAAATTTTGTGGTGGAGATATAATTGACATATAACATATAATTGACATTAGTTTCAGGTATACAACATAATGATTTGATACATGTATGTATTGTGAAATTAACAACACAATAAGCCTAGTTTACCTCCATCACCATACATAGTCACAATTTTTTTTTCTTGTGATGGAGATATTTATGATTTAGTCTTTTAGAAACTTTCAAATATGCTATAGAGTATTATTAACTATAAGCCACCATACTGTACATTACATCCCCATGACTAATTTATTGTATTTTATAGCTGGAAGTTTGTACCCTTTGACTCTCTTTACCAATTTCATACACCACCGCCCATACCCCCACACCTACCTCTAGCAACTACCAGTAAGTTTCTGTATCTGCTATCTTGGTTTTTGTTGTTGTTTTAATTCTACTTATAAGTGAGATCAAATGGTATTTGTCTTTCTCTGTCTGATTTAATTCACTTAGCATAATGCCCTCAAGGTCAATGTATGATGTTGCAAATGGCAAGATTTTGTTCTTTTTTACGGCTGAATAGTCTTCTGTTTTATAGATACATACTACATTTTCTTTATCCATTCAAGCATGGATGGGCACTTAGGCTGTTTTCATGTCTTGGCTACTTTAAGTAATGCTGCAGTGAATGTGGGGGTGCATATATCTTTTCTACAATGTTTTTTCTTTTCTTCAGATAAATACCCAGCAGAGGAATTGCTGGATTATATGGTAGTTTTATTTTCAATTTGTTGAGGAACCGCCATTGTGTTTTCCATAGTGGATGCATCAATTTACATTCTTACTACCAGCGCACAAGTGTTCCTTTCACTCCACATTTTCTCCCACACTTATTATTTCTTATCTTTTTGATCATAGTCATCTGATAGATGTGAAATGATAATTCATTATGGTTCTAATTTGCATTTCCCTCATAATTAGTGATGTCAAGCATCTTTTAATGTATCTGTTGGTCATCTGTATGTCTTCTTTGGAAAATGTCTATTCAGATCCTCAGCCCATTTTTTAATTAATTTGTTTTGTTTTGCTGTTGAGTTATATGAGTTCTTTATATATTTTGGATATTCATCTCTTATCAAATATATGATTTGCAAATATGTTCTCCCATTCTGTAGGTTACCTTTTCATTTTGTTGATGGTTTCCTTTGCTGTGCAGAAGCTTTTTGGTTTGATGTAGTCCCACTTGTTTATTTTTACTTTTGTTGCCTTGGATTTAAGAGTCAAAGCCAAAAAAAATTCAGTGCCAAGACCCCAAGACTGATTAAAGAAACTTACTATGTTTTCTTCTAGGAGTTTTATGGTTTTAGGTCTCACATTCAAGTTTTTAGCCCATTTTGGTTTAATTTTTGTGTATGGTGTGAGATAGTAGTCTAGTTGCATTATTTTGCATGTAACTGTCCAGGTTTCTCAATGTCATTGTTTGAAGAAACTGTCCTTTCCCCTACTGTATAGTCTTAGTTCCTTTGTTGTAAATTTATTTCTAGGCTCTATTTCGTTTTATTGATCCATGAGTTTGTGCCAGTACTATACTATTTTGATTATTATAGCTTTGTAGTATAGTTTAAAATCAGGGATTTTGATGCCTCCAGCTTTGTTCTCTCCCCCCGCCCCCCCTCCGGCCAAGATTGCTTTGGCTATTCTGGGCCTTTTATAGTTCCATATAAATTTTAGATTGTTTATTACATATCTTTGAAAAATGGTACTGGAATTTTGATAGAGATTTGAATTTGCATTGAATTTGTAGATTACTTTGGTTGGATGGACATTTCAATGATATTAACTTTTCCAATCCATGAGCACAGGCTATCTTTTCATTTATTTGTGTTTTCTTTGATTTCTTTTAATCAGTGTCTTATAGTTTTCAGTACATAGGTCTTTCACCCTCCTTGGTTAAATTGATTCCTAGGTATTTTATTTTATTTTTTGATGCAATTGTAAATGATACTGCTTTCTTAATTCCTCTTCTGTATACTCTATACGTAGTATATTGAAGTGCAATTTATTTTTGTATATTATTTTATATCCTACAACTTTATTGAATTTGTTGATTAGCTCTAACAGTTTTTCAATGGAGTCTTCAGTAGGGTTTTCTACACATACTATCATGTCATCTACAAATAGTGACAGTTTTGCTTCTTCCTTTCTAATTTGGATGCCTTTTTTTTCCCTTGCATAATTGCTCTGTCTATAACTTCTACTGGGAGTGTTTGACAAATATGTTTTTGACTGTCATTTACTTCTTCATTGCACAAATGTTTAATAAGTGTGTACTAGGTAGGAGGCCCCGAATATGCCATTGAGCAATCCAGACTCCCCACCCACAATCTGTCATTTTAGGGTTGCAGAGTATATTAGAGTTATATAGTATATTTGAAAAAATTTAGTACTAGGAAGAAAATACCGCTAACAAGGGGGATAAGGAGTGCATGTGTGTATGTGTATGGGGGCAGGGGTGGGCGTTGCAATTTTAAATTGGCCCGGGAGTATCAAAGAGGTGTGTTCTCCTAAAGTTAACAATGTGTGTGTTGTGCAGGGGGGTGTAAGGGAGGGGTCTAGCAGAGTGCTGCCTAGACAGCTCCTTCCCTGTGTGAGGCGTCTCACGCCAGAGCCGGTGCGATTGGCTGGGCCAGAGTGAGAAGTCACGCCACTCTGGCTGGGTTAATGCCTGATACCCTGATTCTCTACGGTTTCTCCAGTCCCTTTCTGATCCCCTTTCCCCAGGCTTATAATTATAGGAAGGTGTGTGAGAGAGACTGAGAATCAAGCTTTCTTGGCAGAAACATCAGTAAATGAAAACTGATAATAGTAATGAAAATACTAATACAATGAAAATAAGAATAGTAATAACTTCCTGATCCTAGTCATTAAGTACACATTCATTTTATTTAACACACTAGTACTAGTAACAAATGCGAGTCCCAGGGACCACGACCGCTCAGACTCTCAGAACCTGGCACTCGGGAGAGCGCGGAGCACGGAGGCTCACCTCAGCTGACTGCGTGGGGCGGGGTCTGCACGGGGGCGGTGCTGGTGAGGGGCGGGCCCCGGTCGGTCCCGCCCCCGGGGGGGGTTGGCCCGGGCGGGCAGTGAGCGCTAGGCGCTGATTAAAGAGGCGCGCGGAGGCGGGCGCGGCGCTTACTGCAGTGGCTCTCGTAAGATGGCCCACGTGTCTCTCAGAGTCGGGCCCTGAGTTCCCCCAGCTGCTTTCGCCACTGCGATCCAGGGCGACCCCTCTGACCCCCAGGTGTGCGCTCATCCCCGGTCCGCTAGAGCAGGACCCCGCACAATTCCCAGCCCTCAGTGGGCCAACTTGGAGAAGCAACTTGGTCCGGGGAACGGGGCACTGCGCATGCGGAGCTCCAAATTCAAACAGCTGTTTCCAGAGGCTGGAGGGCCGGTGGACCCGGAGCCGCTGGGGCTAGGGGACGCTTTCTTGAGGAGGCGGCCTCTCGGGAGCCATGGTGGACCGGGGCCCTCTGCTCACCTCAGCCATCATCTTCTACCTGGCCATCGGTGCAGCTATTTTCGAGGTGCTGGAGGAGCCGCACTGGAAAGAGGCTAAGAAAAACTATTATACAGAGAAATTGCATCTACTCAAGGAGTTCCCGTGTCTGGGCCAGGAGGGACTGGACAAGATCCTGCAGGTGAGGCGCCGCTTTACCCCTACAAACACCTGAAGCTGGCTGGAGGTTTCGGAGTGCTGAAGGGGCGTCCCCTCAAAGCTTTGGGTGACCCTCAGTCCCTGTGGGTTGTCCTGGGAGTGACAGGAGAGGATGTCTCATCACGGATCTGGCTGCTGGGATCTTTCGTTGACCCGTGGACACAGGAGTCACCCACTCGCGGAGGCTCTTTGGAAGTCAGTTTGTCCAGAGAGAAGAGTTTAGGGTTGACCTCCGGGTGAACCGGGCCCCGCAGTGGCTCGATGTGGGTACCTCCCTCCTTGGGAGGAGGCTGTGGGGCGGATAAAGGCATTTATCTTTCCTTGGAGATGCTCCCGGAGTTCGGGAGCCGAGCCAGGTGTCACCCCCCTAATGTCTCCACCTACCATCTCCCGGGCCAGTGCCGCTCCCGCACGGCATTTCTCCAGTAACGTGAGCCCGGCAGAATTGCGGGAGGGTCCTCAGATCCAGCCTAAGTAAAGACCCCCTTCCCCGGTAGGGCTGAGGAGTGGGGTAAGGGACTTTGCCGGGCCTGAGCCGCCGGGATGGGGGCTGGTGACTGGAATGCTGGAGACGCGCTCAGGCTTCCGGGAGAGCTTATCTCGCCTATCGGGGAAGGCTAACTCCAAAGGCTTGGAATTACACTTTGGAAAGTAGTAGGCTGAATAAAAGAACAAAACCCAGAGAGTCCATTGGGGTGGGTGGGAAGAGGTTGTGCAGAATGGGAGGTGGTGGGGAGAGTTTTTCACCCTTGTTAGCATTGGGAGTTTCTTCTGGTTCATATGCCCTGTGGATGGCATTGACCTCGGTGGGATAAACCTACCTTGGGCTGGGAATCAAGGCCGTCTACCCTAGTTTCTAGAAGGCTCTTAGCCTCAACCATTAGGCTTTGGCCTGCACTAATGGCACCCATCCAGTGGAATGACCAGGACCTGAGTAAGAGCCCGTTTGGGCAGTAGGTTGTGAGGTGGAGTAGGAGTAGGTTGATCTAAGATGTTACATTTTGCTTCGGGTAAAGGACACCATAGAGGAGGTTTGATGAGGAACAACATTTAATCTACAGCAGTCCTCCAATACATTATGGCTGTCCGGTTGTCTCATTTTTCTGGCCTCAATTTCCCCATACGTAAAATAGAAATGAACCTGTCTTTATCCATCTTTCCTGCCCTGAACTGTTGGAAGGTTGAAAGCATTGGAAACCTGCTTGGTTCCCTTTTTGTCCCCAAATCATTAGACATTCACAGGTGAGCATATTAGTGCTTACCGGCAGCCGGGCAAGTACACTTGTTCTCTCAGGGGCCGCTGGAAGGGGGCAGGCTTAGGCCAGCAGGTTGGGTCTTTGATTTCAGTGGGGAGAGTTCCCCCCGGGTGGGGGCTGGTGGGAGGTGAGGTTGGTAAGGAGGAAGAACTTCAGAAGGTGGGCTGGCTTCTAATAGCCAGAGTTCTGGGGTGACGCGGGTTCCTTTGGCTGGGTGTCTGCCCTGTGTGCATGTGTTGGGGAGGGGTCACTTTATAATTTCCCCTGAGGAAACAATTCTTCTGGACGAGCTGTTGTTTAGTTTCTTCCAGGGCTTTGTTTAGAGGGGAAGAAGTCAGGCGAGTATGATAAAGAATCGAGCTGCCCTCGAAGTTTCCCTCTTTGCTGCTCCTCCACCAACCACTGCAGGGGAAGGAAGGAAAGAATTCAAGGCTGAATGTGGGAAAATAAACTTCAAAACATGAGGAGAAGGGAGAAGGGGGGTCAGGGTCAGGCAGCCCTTTGCAGCTGGTGGTAGGAGCTTTGGGGGTCAGACAGCTTTCTTAAGGTGTTTGAGCAAACAAAATGTCTTTTATTTTGAGGTCCTGTTAAATCGCACCCCCATAGCAGGCAGGTAACTTTTAGAAAAAGGATTTGGGCATCTGGCCAGTGTGATTTGGAGATGATTATGGATAGCCCTGTCCTCGTCTGCAGCCAAAAGACTCTCAAACCATCTCCAAATGGTCGAGTCTCCTCCCTTCATAGGAAAAACCCAATGAAAACCAGTGGAAGCATTTTGTTAGTGTTACTTTTAGCCTCCAGAAGCCTGCCTGGGCTTGGCCTTCTGATGTGACTTTGGGCATTGCCTCGGGCCTCAGGAAATAAGGGAGTATGAAAACTCAAAAATCTTTCCATTTGGGTTGTTTAGGTATTTTCCACCTGAAGTTCTGAATCACCTTTGTAATCCTAAAGAAGTCCCTTGCTAGGAATTCCTGGGGTGGGGGCAGGCTCTTGGGAAGGGTTGTTGGAAGGGAGTGGGGGTGGTGCAGTCTAGGTTGGGGTTTTTCTCACACTGGAAACTTTGCTTTCAGATTTATGAGGAAGGGACTTTACACACCTTTCTTTCGATTTTTGGAAATAGGCCCTGAGTTGTCAGGTGCTTCCTCCCAGTTCAAGCAATGGTTGAATTGAGGCGGAGGTTGACTTTCACATGCTGTGTGTGCCCCACTAGTCTTGTACCACGTGGTTGCCCTCCTTCCTGCCTTCAGAATCATCTTGAATCCTTTGCTGTGACTTGTGCTCCACCACAGACTGGGTGACCCTTTCCACCAGCCTCTTCCTAAATTGCAGAGGCTCCCGTGAGGGGAGTTAGCATGAACTGAGCCCCTTAATGGTGGGCATTGTGGGTAGTATCTGCATTTTATGAGAGAGGGTACAGTCTGATTTTGCCATCTGGCTTGGCCATTTACCCATCAAGCCATTTAAATTTGACATCTGTAAAATAAGTCAAATAAAGTAGCAACATTCAGCCAAATGTGTATAGATGACTTAGGAGACCAAGTTGTCACTTGGCACGTATGGCACAGACATTGATCAAGACAATTGGCCAAGTGGTTTACCTGTATTAGTTCAGGTACTCCTTACAGCCCCCTTACCTATTTAGATAAGGACACTGAAGGTCAGGGAAATTGTTAGAGTGGCTTTGGTGACACACCGGGAAAGTATGGCCTGGGGTGAGGACCAGCTGCCTGCCTCCTTGCACGCTCCTGCCCTTCCTCTCGGGCATGTGAAGCTGTTGACTGGTTGGTCTGTAAGTGAGTTTAGTAAATTGGTTCAGCTGGACTCTGGTCTGCTGGGAAATTCTATTTTCCGTTCCCCCAAGAACAGGCCTCTGCACGCAGGCTCCTCTGTGCTGTGCCCGGCTGCGCTGCCACCTCCTCCCTTACTGAAGTAAGCATCCATCCACTGCACCCCACTCCTTTGGAAGCACAAAAATGCAGAGGATTGGGGTAAAGGGGAAAAATGAACCTTTCTCAGCCATTACCTCCAGTGTGCAGTAATCAAAATAAACAGGAAGGATTTGAGAGCTCACCAAGCACCAGGGCTTCCATTAAGTACTTCACATAGATTCTTATTTTAATCTCATCATGGTGGCCAACCCCTGTTATAGATGAGGATGAGGCTCGAAAAAAATGATATATCTTGCCAGTATCACAGAGTGCAGAGTCAGGTTTCAAATCTAAGTGTGTTGTTATTCCAAAGTACATGGAAATTAGTCAACAGGCATTTATTAAGCACCCACTGTGCGTCAGACACTGAGCAAGGTGCTGGGAGTACAAAGGTGAATTAAAACACAACCAAGATCAGGCTGGCTGCTAGAGATAAGAATGAATAAACCCACCTTCACAACAGTTACTGAGGGCCCCACAGAGGTATTCAAGAGGGATTCTTGCTGAGTGCCCCCAGGTCCAGCCTGAGAGGTCAAGGAGGGCCCTCAGGAGGAGGTGACCTCAAGCCAGAGTGGGGTCTTAGAATTAGGTTTAGCAGGGAAAAGAGGGTGGTGTGTTGCTTCGTGCTGTGGCTCTTGAGATTCCCAAGTCTCCTGGGGCTGTGGTAGGTAGGGGTCACCCCAGGCCCTGCCCTCCTCTCGGATGCCCCATCCCTAACTCTGGCTTTTCCTAAACTGCTCACATAGATGATCAGTGCCCAGGAGCTTCTTGGATGTTGCTGACCTCCTTGCTGCCTAAGCTGCAGACTATGTTAGCCTATTGGGAGGTTTTCTCTCCTTTTTATTTTTATGGACTCCTACCTATTCTATACATGCTCCAGTTCAGTAGTGAGGCTCATTCCAATAATGAGGTTCTCACATCCTGTTGTTAACACTAATCCTCCTCCTAAAATTGGAAAAATACAGCCATGCAGTAAAATTATATCTGACCAAAATGCTCAGAATGGGCCACATTCATTGAATTTTCTGGAGAATGGAGGGTTAACATGAAAACCTCTTTTGTGTCAAGCCTTGTTTGAAATTGTAAGAGTGCACTGGTCCATTTAAATGCCTTTGTAAGTAAAGGGAACACAATAGATCTTTTGATTGTCTAATGATTGTGGAGACCCCCACATCATTAGTTCAGATGTGAACTCTCACCTTCTAGGAATGGAGAAATGGAAAGTGGAGAAGTGGATTTGGGAAAGGAAATGGAAGGAAATGGTCCCTTCCCAAAGCCTTTTTTTTTTTTTAAGTAATGTTTCCCTCAACGTCTGGGCGGACCCCCAATTTTTTTTTTCCCAATTGATAAATGTGCCTTAGATAACTGCTCTGGTTAAAGTTTTAACGGTAAAGTGAATTTTTATTGAGTCATTTTGAGGATTTTACTAGAGCTCTTAGGACAATTACAGATGGCACGCTAATAGAGACTTATTGAGGATAGAAATTAGCAAGTGTTGAAATGTTCTAGTGGGGGGGCTTCCTATAGGAGGGGTGAAAGGGAGGTGATGACTGTTGCTTCTAAGTATTTTTCCTGGGGTTTTGCCATATTTATAGTCTGTCGTTTAAAAGAAACAGAATCTTCCAGTTTTGAACGCTGTGCTTGGCTGGCTCTGACCTCAGTCCAGTGGGCTTTCATCTTGAACTTGGCTGTTTGCTGTCAGATCAGGCTCAGCCTCTGAAATCTATGTGTTGGGAGGATCGAGGGGTGGGGAGCAGGAAAGTACAGGGCTTTGGGGAGCAGAGGACCCACACTCCTGA